ATAGGTAACTCAACACATTTTTCTTCGCTTTTTGACAGTGATCATATATAGCTTGTGATGTGCTTGAAATTATTGTTCGACATTATTTCCTTGTTCACATTTGATTTTTCACTTATTGGAACGTCTGCACATGATACTTTTTGGCTACTGCACCAACGGCATATGTTAGGCCCGCTGTGCAGCGGTCCCATCCCATGCTCTTGGTGCAGAAGATTTCTAGGAATTTTTACCTGTTACTATCGAATGTGGTTAACATCTAGTGTTGTTGCGATCTTTCTCAGCTCTCAGGAAAACTGCAAAGAGAAAACTTCGTGAAAAACTTTGTCCAGTGGTTGTATCGTTTTTCGTCTGACTGAATTGATGCATTTATGTTGTAGGTTACAAATCTTCCTGTGTGTACAAATGAGGAACTTTTTTATCACTTTGGTGGAGATAACGTGGTGAGTGTCTTTTGTTGGCTGTATATTTATGCTTAGTGCGGGATATTCTTCCTTTATTTTATTTTCTCTAGGTGCGCGATGTCACCTTTTTGAAAGATCATCGTTATGCTGCACGAATAGATCTGCATACAGCTGAAGGATTTAAGAGTGCGAAAGAGCTTGATGGGCAACAGTTCAGAGGGCGCACCCTGCGAGTAAGTTCTTCGAACATTTCGTTGTCAGTTCCTTTTTTTGCCATTGCTGTAATTGTCCATGGAGCCTGAGTTCAAGGTTTTGCGGCTTTTACTAAAAAAGTTCGCCCAGAGATTCTAGATTGGGTGCAAGACTGTTTTCAATCTTTACAGGTGTATGAAATCCGAGAAGATAGAATCCGTGAAAGACCATCTCAACAAGACCTGCAAAATCGCCAGTATAGCAACGATCCGCCTCCGTATAATAGGGATAATAGCAGGTAGAAAATTCAATTTGTATTATTTGTATTATTGTTTCTTATATTCTTGTACTGTTCATAGTGTATTTATTGTTCTACTCCTGAGCAACTTGTAGTTGTTCTTGACTAAAATTGAAGTGTATCATAATTTTTTGCTATTCACGTGACGGCGCTCTTCCAGTAAAGGAGGGAAGGGGGACGTTATGATGCGTTATTCTTCATTATTCCTGCCGTTTACGGAAACTTGAAGCAATACTCCCAGAAAGGTTCACTTTTGGCTACTGATAAAATGGCAAGATGCGCG